TCCAATTTCTCTCGTGAGTGGATGGTCCATTTGCACGCTTACTTGCATCTCGCGCGTCCTTTTCATCGCCAAGACGCCTGGAGTGCTTTGGCCACTCAAAATTACCACACAAATACTTGTTCCCCAGGAAAAACAAAGCATAAAGCCCAGGAACTCAAGATTTCTTCGTACAAGACCAAATCAGACGTTCGTATTGCGTCCAATTCTAGCTGTCGTATCAAAAACTATTCGATGTAAAATCGATCTCCGGCCATCTAAAGCCCGGCCTGGTAACAGCTGGTCGATATAAAACAAAGGTTTAAACCAAACCCCAGGCTTTAAAAGGCATCTAAATAATACAGTCGTTTCAACAAGAAGTTTATCCCAGTAGTATTGTTGCTCGACATGAAACAAATATCTCCCAGACACCAGGCTTTCTGGGCTGCTTTCTGCTCTGCTAAAAGTGAATAACTTTGCTTGGTTGGCGTTGGAAGGGGAGCAGAAATGTAAATTTTAGCCCACAATAAGCAAAAACAAATGTTTCCCAACAACAACCATGTTTTAGTGGTTTAATACGGAACACCCATTTGTTGGCAAAAAGCTGTTCGGTCCTAACATCCCTTGGCAAAATGCACCAAAGCTGTACAAGGCGGTGACGCGACTTGCGCCTCCGCCTCGGAGTGGCCGTTCGCCAGTGTGTCCGCCTGGCCAAAGGGTCCCGTGGAACCCCGAGACAAGTGCCCGTTGGCTGAAGGGAATGATGCCAAGCGATGAGGAAAGGATAAACCCCTTAACAAAAGGGACAAGGCACCGCCCAAGGCACTTTGTGTTATAGGTGCAAAACAGATAATATCTAGCCTGCATTCACACACTTGTGTTTTCTTCATCTGCGCTTTTTCCAGCCTGATGACTTCTTGAAGGGTGACAAGGGACAAAATGACAAAAGAGCCATGATCATATACAGCAGAGGGGAAGAAGGACCTAGTGACCCTTGTTTTCGGAGGCCGCAAGCCAATTGAAACCGCACACGGTTCAGCAGCCACTCTGCGACAGGCAATTGTGGCATCAATGCACACATGACAAAGGAACGCAAAGGCCCACATGTCAAATTGGGGGTGTGTTTTGTTGAAGGTACCCTTTTCAGGTTGGTTTACAGGACAACCAAAATCGACCTTTTGAAGTGGGGGGTGGGGGCTGTATCGACTTTTGGAGTGTTGGTTTTTTACTGGGACTGCTCGGATCGCCTGCTAACTGTTGAACTGTTCGTGGGCCAAATGGAAACCCCGCTAAACTAAACCAAGAAAAAACAAAAAAGGTCGAGGCGACGGCTCTGAGCCGCCAAGTATGGTGGAGACAACAATTTGTCTCAACTCCGATCGAGTGGATTGGACAAAGAAAGTCCAAACTTGTATTGTCCCACTAAAGTTGGAGTCGTCGGGATTGTGGGGTGGGCTTCCGCCTGAATCCCGCCTCCTCGGCCAATTCACCTTGCTCCTGCATGCAGAAACGTAGGTAGATCGAACCAGGGCTTGCCTCTTGACCTCCTTTGCCACAAACCCCCTAATATATACCTAATACCCACTGTTCGGGGTATATGTCACCCCCTGACAAAACGGGTTGAATATTAACCCTGGAAAACCAGGCTCTCCAAAAACATACACAAAAAAAAAACAGGTATTTGGAGCTTTCAGGGATACTCATATTGCCTACCTGGCAATAAATCAAGTTTGCCCTTTGGGAACCCGCACAGGGGCGAGTCTGTTCAAGATGGCTGGGAAATCCTCGCTGATTCTTCTTGATCGACAACTCAGTTGTTCAGTGACCCTGGAAAAAAGGGAACCCTTTTTTGGGAAGACCATTTTAGTGGGGCAGCCACCAAAAAAAAGAAAAAATATTGGAGCCACTGAACAACTGAGACAACGTTACAAAGGGAGACCATTTTCGTAAGGATGCGGGGCCCGGAGGTCGCTCAAAAAGGAACTCAAAAGGCGAATCCGGCGAAACATGGCAGCTAGGGGTGATTTCCAGATGAGGCACAAGCAAAAACCGGCAGTAAAATGGTCTGCCAAACCAATGCGAAGAATTAAGAGGGCGACTGCATTGGGAGTATCCCTTGCTCACCTTCATCTACCCGGTTTGCCATTGTGTCTCAGGCAACCATGCACTTGCAACTTACAAACCTCTACGGCTCTGCCCATACTTACGGCTCTAAGGCTCTAGGATCAATTTGTGCAACGAGGTTCTTTCCTCTGGTCTTAAAACTGCATCTCAAGGAAAGTCATAGGACACCGATCTGTTTGGGCCCAAGATAACACGTTTTCACAAGTGCCTTGGACACCTTTCTGTAACCACAGGTCTCTCTCCAAGTCTCTTTGTGTGGGTACATCCAAATAGGAGGAGCAACATGATGTTTCTTTCCTGGAACTTGACCCTTCTTTTGACCTGGCACTTCGTCGTTGATCCATCAGCAAACACATACTGCGGGTGGTTTTACGAAATCCGACATCGCACCGCACCAGGTAGGTGATCAAATTTCGGCATTCATGGGTTGAGGGCAAACTTTGGCGTACCAACAGTCTGGGGGTTGAACACCTGGGGAGGCACAACTCAGTTGTTCAGTGACCCTGGAAAAAACAGGGAACCCTTTGTTGGGGCTCCGATTATTTTTGGTGGGGCAGCCACCAAAAAAAAGGAAAAATAATTGGCGCCACTGAACAACTGAGACAATTTATGATTAACCCCGAAAAGTAAGACAATGTCTACTTTACCCGAACTGCTGCCAATGGGATTTCGCCACCATCCACCACTTTGACACCATGGTTGATTGAAACCAGTGTTGTGGCTATTTGCAGGGGAATCGAATTATCCCGAGGTTTCTTAGGCGATGCGAAATTTCGTCCATCTACAGTACGTAGGGAAGGATTCTCCAAATCCGGAGACTCAGGGCTACATGCCCATAGAGAAATGGGAAACCAACAGGAACACCACCATTTAGGGCCGGCTCCTTATTTTAAGACGCAGCCAAATTAGCGTTTGGCCAAGAAAGCAAGCGCTGCAAAAGATTAAAATCGGTGTGGCCTGCAAGATGTACGGGGCCAACTGTACCTTCCCACTGCTCAATGAAGTGCATCGACAAGGAGACCCCACCAAACAACCTCCCGCCAAAGGTTTGCATGGCCCATTTTCCCCCTATGCCCTACTCCAAATACTTGTTGTTTGATATTATTTGTTGAACAGCCGGGTTTTCCACGAGGTAACTACACCTCCTTTTCTAGCCAGGGATTGACATACCCATGCAAAAGTATATAGTGTGTAGGGGGAAATTACATGGATGTTTGGCCAAGTCAGTAATTAAGTGGTTAGCTACTTGGGTTGGAGCTAAGAACAGGGTAATCCGACTTAGGATTAGGGGTACTTATCAGTGGGTTGTGACCCAGGATACCAACAGCATACTAACTGCGCCAAACACCCAAGCAGGAATCCTTAGCAGCCTTAGCTGCAACGCTTGTGACGCGCATCTCCTCGGCAAGAATCGACCGACACCTTTGTTTTTTCTCGGGTGAGACACATGCCATTGCACAAGGAGGCCGACCGCCGAGCCACAATCAAAACTTGGCAACTCAATCTGCTCTCAAAGCGACACTTGTGTCTTTGAGATGGCACCATTCCAAACCATGTTCAGTTTGTCCCCTGCTCTGCAAGCCACAGTGCGAAAATCAGATGGAACAACTCCAAAGAAAATGTTCACCTCGCAATCCCCTTTCAGGGATCCTTACATTATACACCTGAACATTGCCTTGTAAATGGTGGTGTCCCTTATCTTGGCAGAAAAAGCCATGCTTCAAAATGGGCAAAATGTATCTTTTAAGGAGCCCTGCCTTTCCTTACCCAAATGCAGAAACAGATGGGCCACCTACTTTCACACGTGGAAAGCCATTCGCAGTGGGACTGAGCACGAACCAGCCTTCAAGTAGCTTCCATCTTACGTCAGGTTCCCGATTCCAGTGGCTCATGTTTTGCTAGTTGTGAAAGGGAACCCCTCCAGCAAAAGGTCGAACATGGAAAATGCAAAAACCCACGTGGGATTTATAAATTTAGATCACTTCTCTCCTTGAACAAATCAGACGACGAAGGCAGGGTCGCTCCCTTTCGACCGTCGAGAACGAGCGCCAGGTTTTCATCGTGGCTCTGCTTTAGCAACCCCGCGGCCTTTGCCTTCGGCATAGCCGCGGGCGATGGCGCGAAATTGGGCTTTCGCATCCTACCAGCATGGCCGGGATGGGCGCTGAAGGAGTTGCGCTGCAAACTAACTTGAAGCTCAAAGAGATAATTAACTCCCGTAAAAAGCGCTTGAAGTTTACTTCACGGTTTGGGGTGAGCATGTTTGTAGGCCAGTAGACTGTGGCAATCTCGGGCTATTCCAAGGCTGGGAAACTCTTCACCTATTTCTCCGAACCTGGTTCTTCTGTTACCCAGACCCAATATCCGCTTTTACTCAGGGTATGGCAAGCGTATGATTTGTCAACCCTTGACTAAACAAGGGATCGGTATTTACCCTGGAAAACCCATCGGTGTATCACATAGACAAAAAGCAATTAAGCACCCCGAAGTACCCCGAAGTGGGGTTAGCCGTATAGAGGGACCTCAAACACGGTGGGTATCTGTTGACTTCCCTTACCAACCCCTCAGCCTATCCCCAATGGGTGGTTGGAAAACCGGAATTCGAACCCCCTGGTCCTTGCAGAGGGTAAATGGGAAACCATCCCTACCCTCCAAACCACGCAAGAGCTGAGAATAAGAGTACCAAAGGCCATGAGCCTTAAAAAATGGTTGCTCACCCCTTTCCCCTTTGGGTAATGACTCCTTTTCTAGGGCCCAGAGGCTCCTGGGGCTTTCAATGGAAGACCTGACCCCTCCATTAGACACCCCGGAGGTGTTTGGGGGTCTCACAACCTGGCTGTTTGAGGGCCCTAAATCGATCGGGAGGTCGGAAGGGGGCTCTGGGCGATCTGGTACTGTTCTCTTGGTTCACAAAACGCGGCATCCCGGCTTCTCAAACCCTCTCACTGGCCAGGGCTCATGTAGAGGTTTCGCCTCCTGTAGAAGCCTCAGATAAGCCACCGACCCGTGAGGTAGACAAGGGAAACAAAAAAAAGTGGGGCCAGAAATATTTGGATGTGGGACGGAATTCCCTGTGGTTTCCCTTGAAACTTGAGGCTTGCCTGTTGGCTTCCCCAGACAACCCCCCAAAACAAATTGGTGCGATTAAGAGACACCCCCGTTTTGGTGAACCCCACCAAACCGAAAGGGAATCTCCCACAGTTCGAAGGGCTCAACCCAACTTCGGAATCGCAGAAGGAGTGAATTTCCATGTGGGTGTGGTCTCAAAAATCAAGAGATTTCCAGGGGACCATAGGGTTGAGTCTACTTGTCCATTTACCAGGGCAATTCATGTTTGGGAAATCTCAATTGTTGAGCCAAACCCGTGAGGAGATTCCAAGGGCATTCGTCCGGTCCGATTTACACCTCATACGGGTGATTTGTGGTAAGGGATTCTTTGGTGGACATCAAATTCGGTGGAAATTCATGTCACCAACTTGTATATAAGGAGGCTCCTTCCCCTCAGGGCCAGCTTACACACCCCATATGGACATACCACTATAGGCCTTGTATAGGAATGGTCCTTTTTTGGGCATGTACCCTGTACAACGCAGATATAACCACTAATTTTGGGGTATGTCCATTTGCGGTATGCAAGTTGGCCCTTAGACTTCTCTATTGATGTTCTTAGCCATATCAGAATGCTTCTAGGGAAAGGGGGAATTGTGTGGAAGGAGCCCTCAAACAACCACTGAACATGTGTCTTAGGATAGCCCGACCCCTGTAAAAACCCCTATGACACAGGGAAAGCAGCAGTGGTTACTCTTTGCGTTCCCCGAAAGTCTCTCAAACTTCTCGAAGAATCACAAGGTTTGTCCCCAACTTCCAACTAGCAACCAATTCCTCACGTTGTCCGGGGACTAAGATCCACCAACCCATAGGACTTGCCCTTCCTTCCTCCCTCCAGCTGATGTGTGGGTGCCTGGAAGATGGGTTTTCTCTCAAAGGTACCACTACGACTTGGATATCCATCCTCGAAACAAGAGGCTGGCCAAACCGCATGCAAGAAGTTGCTGCTCCATATAAATTCCCGTAAAGGACGTGGGACAATTCGTGAATATACTTTTTTTGTGGGCAACTTGAGTGAATCCCCCATGTCTCGCCCAAATGAGCCAAAGACTACTGGTAAGTTTTACCAAGCTTATGGGCGCAGTCCAAAGTATGGACCTGGTTTTTGACCTCTATCGAAAGAAGCTCTGCCGCTTGAAGCAAAAACAGACACCTACTCCGAATGCCGCCTTCTTCCGGGGGATGTCACCGCGACTAAAAAAGAATTTTGTTCAGTGACACTGGAAAAAAAGGGAACCCTTTTTTGGGGCTTGGACCATGTTAGTGGGGCAGCCACCAAAAAAAGAGTTGGAAAAAGAATTGGAGCCACTGAACAACTGAGAAAAGATAATTTAGTGTGGGAAACCCGAAGGTTTTTCAACATACACCGCAACAGCACGTGCTTTTACTCAGTAGCCTCGGATGGGACCCAGAAATAGAGGGTGCTCACCTGTTGTGGCCGTGATTAAAATGGACCAACTGCAAAAGACCAGAAAGTCAAGAGGTTGGCTTTGGGCAGTCAGTTTATCATGGAAAGCCTGGAAAGCCCGTTTGTTTGCAACACATCTACCCTTTGAAAAAACATGAAACAAACACGGAACACCCACCGGTTTTTCAAAATACACCCCCAGACCCAATGGGGCATGATGGGGTATGATGACCACGCCTCACTAAGAAAGGCGGTACGTACCATGAAAAACCAGGTTCATCCAAACATGCCCCGACAAACAGGTACTTGGATGATAGGGTGCCACTTAACTCTAGAACTCTTGGTACGGTAGCACAAAACTCTGTTTTTTTGCAGCCCCCCCAGTAAAAATGAACAGAAGCAAAGTTAAGCTGCTGTTGTTGCTGCCAGGGAAACGGAGGGACCCAAATAGTTTTGAAATGCCACCCACTTGCTCTGATGTTTCTCTTTCTTTTTTTTGCTTAGCAACACACTGGGACTTCCCAAAATTAAGACTTAGGCCAGGCCCAGCGAAGTTAGCGGCTTAGAGCTGGCTCAGTGCGAGGTGCACTCGTGGTCCGGGGGCAGCAAGTCGTCTGTGCGGCCCAGCTCGAGCTGCGCCATGCCTGTGCCAAGCAGCTTTCGTCGATATGGCTCGTCGTTTTTGAGGCACCCATTTGTTGGTGGTTTCAAAGGAAAACCAAAAGAATAATGTTGGAGGTTTATCTAGTATTAGACACACCCATATTCCCTACGGAGGCAACAAGGGATGCCATGTGAAACCTAGCAAAGATACCTGACTGCCTATGGCAAGTGGAAGCACTGGGTAGGGATACATCCGATCCAAGAATTGCAGGCTAGTCATACTGTGGATCGTTGAACCTATTTCGCACCACCAAAGAAGCCCTGGTTTCGGATGATTCCTCTTGTAAACACCAACAACCGATGGGTTCAACCATGGTTTTAAAGTGGTGCGAAACGGATTTCATCTATCCACAGTAGCGTTCAACCCCCATGTGCAATAGGTAGCGATCGACCTTTGCAGGTTTTTCATGGAAAAGCCATGTGTTTCCAAAACGTCTAAGGGGCCAGGTTTTGCGAACCCGCTGACATGGGAATTTGGTGAATCCTTGTGATATATTGGTGAGAGTGGCCATGTGTGCCCTTTTATACTACAGAAGAGAACAGTAACTATTTTGCCGCTGCTCACATGGCGGTTGTCTCAAACCCTTGCTGCTGGAAACGCCATCGTCACGGAAGCTAGAAAGGGCACATCACTTGGGAGCTCGGCCAAGTTGGTAAGTTGGTCGCCTGGTTGTAACCCATGTATAAGTCGCCCCTACGTGGTGCTTAGGGGTGGAACAAAAAAATGGCCAACCACTCACTGACTGGGCAGCGAACATCCAAGCAGGACACCAAAGGCGACCTCAAGGGTGGTATTTGTTGGCCTCCAAACCCCACTCAGGCTACACTCAATTGGTTGACGTTGGGTTTGGGGAGCAACAATGCTCAAATTTTAGCAGTTCAGTGGATTTGGATTTCAACCACTAAACCATAATAAGCAAAAATGTCCTTCAACAGGGATCCGGATGCATTATACACCCGAACATTGCAACTTGTAAATGGTGGTGTCCCTTTATTTTGGTGGAAAAAGCAATGTTTCAAACGGGCAAAAAGTATCTTTTCAGGAGCCCTGTTCAATTGGTTGGAAAACTGGAATTTGAAGCCCCGGCGCTTGAGCGAGCCGAAGCGGAGTCCCGGCTCTCCCGGAACACCTCCGACTCCAAACCGCGAGTTGAGATCGCGAAGAACTCTGCAGAATTTAAGCTCAGTTGCCCCTATGGGACCTGGAACTCAAAGGTGATCACCTTGTGGGGCCATGACGAAATATGGACCAAAATGGGAAAACCGAAAGGTCAAAAGGTCGAGTCGCTTTGAACAACTGAGTAACAGAAGGAGCCCAACAAGGTCCGCAAAAGAGGTGTTTCTCAAACACAGACGGTTGTTTGGCTTCTTTTTGCTTCCTTTAAAAAGAAGAGAGAGTAACTTCCGAAACGGAAATAAGGATTCCTGGAGACAAGCCCGGTGATTCGAATTTCCTTGGCATGAGAGAAAGCGGCCCTAGCACCCAAATTTCTGAATTGGGGTACTCAAAACAGTGTGATGGTCCTTGTGGTTTCCTTTTAGATAACCGCCCAAAAAGCGTACCCTCACACAAACGCAATCTACAACCTCCATTTGCTTTGAAAAAACAAACTGGTAAACATGCACACCTACTTCCAGTAGGAAATCTTTTGCGTCACAACCAGAAAAAAAAAGAAGAGTTCTAGATTTCGGCACATGTTGCAATCCTATGCGCCATTCCCGGCGGGTCGCTCATCAATGGGCTGGACCCGGAGCGCTTCACGGGGCAGAACTCGGACACGTAGCCTCAAGCTTTTGCTTTCGGGCAGCAAAGTTGTACCCAGCGCCCCATCCAACGCCGGCTTCGGGCTCTGGCAGCATTGAGTGCTTTTTTTCGCCTCCTTTGGCCTCATGGCTATGTGGGTGTGGCTCAAAATTCATCAGGAGGGGCAAACCGCAGGTTTTGGTCCATGTTTCCACTTACCAGGGCTCCATTTGGGTACCGGTTTTTTGAGCCACAGACATGTTTAGTCTGATTTGGACTTGTCTTCTTCGGCTGTGAGGCGTTGGCGTTCGCGGGTCTTTGGGGGGTCTTGGGGGGCTGTAGGGTTGAAGGCCGGTTGAGCTTGAAATCAGGCGCCTGCAAAAAGTGGAACATTGAAGGCAATAGCCATGCGTCTAAATGTTGGTTGACGCTGGGTTTGGGGAGCAACAATTCATTTTTTAGCAGTTAAGTGGGGATTTCAACCACTAAACCACACTAAGCAAAAATGTAAACTGTTTCCCAACAACAACCATGAAATGGGGAAAACACTTAATGGAAAACAGAGGTTGGTGGACATAACGCTTTCACCCGCTCAGTAAGTGGGTTATTAATACAAGGGAACGGAAACACCATACAGGTACTTGAGGAGTCTTCCTTTTTTGGGGCTTGGAATAAGGGACAATTCAACCATCCCCTCGCGGTTACCCTTGCGACAGTAAATCCTGTGTGTGTGTGTGTGAAAAGTACCACTTTTTATAAGGGGCTAAATACTTGATTTGAATGGGGCTCAGGGTGCATAAAACTAAATTCAGTCCAATTTCAGGAATAATCCCCCAGGAAAAAATGGCACTTACAGGAGTGCTGGCGTCCCTTTAAAAAAGCCGGGGGACAAATAAAGGGTTGAGCCCCGCGGGGCCTCAGGGTCCGAGGCCACAACACCCAGCAACCGATCGATCCAAAGCCAGCTGAGAGGATGCTGGCACTCAGGGAGTGAGACCATGGGGCTTCTGGCTGGCCGGTTTGCCCAAAGGTGCCCCCGTGTTTGTGGCTTTTAAAGGGAAACCAAGACAACAAGCCCCCTCCAGAGGTTCAAAGCACCATTGAAAAAATGGTTGGGTTCATATCACCGCCATTGTTTACAGTTCGGGATAGTCATTATCCAAATTGGGTCCCAAGTTAGGCCATGTGTTTATAGGCGCAAGGCGCCCTAGGAATTCTAGTTTGGCTTGCTGTTTCTTGAGTCTTCCGTCTCACTGGCTGCCGGGACGCTGCTCTTCTCAGGCACCCCGTACTTGGAAAACCCGAGGTTGGGCTTCGGCAAGAGGATCTGGCCTCGGAGTCTGCCAAGTGTTGGTTCTAGGATGGTGCAGTGAAGTTCGAGTGCTTGGGCCCCTTTCGTGAAGATCATGGTGGGAACTATGTCCACTCTCGAAGGGGTTCCCTATTTAACAGGGATGACTAAGCTGCCAATCAAGTTCACAGCAAGAAAATCAGCTGGACCCCTAAGGGGTAGTAGTAGTAGTAGTAGTAGTAGTAGTAGTAGTAGTAGTAGGAGGAGGAGGAGGAGGAGGAGTAGTAGTAGTAGTAGTAGTAGTAGTAGTAGTAGTAGTAGTAGTAGTAGTAAACACAATCGTTGTTGATTTCGTTTTTCTTCTTCCTTATCGTTGTACAGGCGTTCTGCCATGCACCTCCCCCTCCGGACGAAGCCTTACATAATGTAAAGGCGCGGGGTATTCATACAACCCCCCTTGTGGATGTGGTAGCCGGTCATCACTAATCAAATAATCCTTTTGAAATGGGTATGACGTCGACCAGTGTCTATCAAAATAGGTATTACCATGAAACGACTGCATATCGCCTAACTTGCATTGCATTTGGCCTGTGGGTTCACACTCCGAGAATTGTAAGAGCGTTTGTCCGCAGTTGGGGCATAATTTCTTTCCTCAGGTCAAGCACTCGATGGTTCCGTTCCATCTCATTTGGCACCCTGAAACAAGCGGGCCATCTGGATCACACACAGCATCTCTTTCTTGGGGCCCTTAGGGCCTCTCAGCTGTCCTCAAATCCCCTGCCAAAAGTTTAGCTTTTAGTGGAGCAAATGGAAGCTACCACTACTAAAAAGCTAAAGCTGGGCTTTTAGTTGGCAAAATTTGAAACCCCCACTAAACCCTAAAAACCTAAGGCACGGCTAGGAACCGCCAAGGGCAAGAATCCTCTAGAGTTCAGGGGCGAGCCGTTTGGCTTATCTCTCCGAGCTAAGAGTATCCCCGAAAGCTCCCAAGGATCCTTTTAGTTGGCATTTGTTGAAAACCTGGTTTTCCAGGGGCAAAAACCGATCCCTTTGTAGGCAAGGGCTGACACCCTACCATACCCTGCAAAAGAGTGGGCCGGGTCTCTCAAAGATTGGGATCCGATGCAGCTCTTTAGAGTGCGGGGAGAAGGGCACATCTTTGTTCCTGAAAGAAAATCGAACAGCTCGTTGCGGAGAAACTCACAACTTCAAATCTGGCAGAAAGGTGAATGGACCATACCTGGAGTCTCCACGACCCTTCAAAAATGGGGCCATGACCCCTTGCTTTTGGGTAATGACTCCAGTTTTCATCAGGGTTGGCTCAGCAATGATAAAAGGTCAAGGCTTCATCAAGCAAGCCAGAAGCAAGGTCAAAGTGTTCATCAAATTTCAATCAGGGTCACCTATATCTCCCCGTTGAACTTCACCCCAGGAGGAAACTCGCCAAACAAAAGAGGAACCAACACGTACGTTCTTTCAAGGAGTGTGTGTGTATAACTTGTTTTCAGGGACCAATATGGTGGTGGTTCTTTTGGCTTCCCTTTCAACCAATCAAAAGGCGGTACCCTCAAAAAGAGCACACCCACATGAGTGTGGGGCAAAGGATTGAGTTTGGGTGGACATGTATGAGCCGTATAAAATATTCAAACCCATACCTTAACCGCAATACTAAAGGGGAAATAGTGTTCGGGAGCCGTATTTGAGGAGTTTAAAGGGAAACCAAAAGAAACGCCTCCACTGGGGCCACCTTATTTTGAGACGCACCATGAAATGGTCTCTTTTTACCCTAGAGTTCCTGGCCCCCAACAAAAGAATGGCCCAAGGGGACCCAATTGGATGAAACTTCTCAGGTAACTAATGGTGGTTAGATTATCCCCCTGTGCTTCAATGGTGCTTTGAACCCCAGGGTTTAGTTTCCCGAGCCAAGCCCAAAGCCTCACTTCCTGAGTGGATTGGCAAAGCTCCCAAACGTTTCATTCACCACTAAAATGGTCCAAGCCCCAAAAATGACTAAAGTCCTGGAACTCAGCAAGTGAGCAGCGGGTCAACCCCAACAAAAAAAAGACGAGCCATCGAACAGGAAGCCCGATCCGTCTCAGCCTCCGGTTGCGCCATCCTTTGCCCACCCCCCGGCGGCGGCCTGGCGTTGCCAGATCCTGTGGGTGCGCGTGGAAACTCACCTCGGCGTATAACTCGACAGCGGTGAGGCCGGCTGGGTTTGGGTCACCCGCACAGGTCCCTTTTCAATCGTGGGTTTCCCTAACTGGAGCTAATCAAGACAAAACCAGTTGGCCCTGAGCCTCGTGTGCCTTATTTGGCCTTACTTAGCCTTACTCTGCCTGAAAAGGGCCAAATGTGGTGCTCTTTCCCCGCCGAGTAAGTCAAAACGAGTCCCTGACAGCCTTGATTTACTGATCTACTCTTCTGAAAATGATGGAACCTCGATACACCACTCCGCTTTTGGAGGAACCTCTGTTTGCAGCACCCCTGTTTTTGGCTCACTGGAAATCCTTGAAGGGCTCGGATTGTTGTGGCGTTCACGCGTGATCCAACCTACTCGGCTAAATTCACATTTGGCATCCAAGAAATGAGACTCCTCTGCTTCCAAAAGGCAGTGGTTACGGGTGCTGGTCCAAATATGAGTCCTGTTTTGAGGGTACCCCCCTTTTGGCGCCTGTTAAAGCCTCATTCTTGGAGGGTCCCCTAAGAAAGACATACCCATCACCCGTCTTCGAATGAGGGTTATTTGGGTTCCATGCTAATCTGCAGGGGGGCGTAACTGCTGGATCGTAAACCCAAACGGATGTTGGACGGTTTATGAAGGCAGCACCACAAACCTCAGAAGCAGTAGGACCGCACAAGTTGATCATCCTCACCTTCGTTCCACAAAGTACAGTTATATATGCTTGATCCTGGCGCACATTATCAGTGAACCTCAACAGTGTAGAATTGCAAAAATCTGAACTGGATACTACCAACTGGAGCGAAGTGGTTTTTGTCCTCAGTTGTTCAGTGACCCTGGAAAAAAAGGGAACCCTTTTTTGGGACGACAATTTTAGTGGGGCAGCCACCAAAAAAAAAGGAAAAAGGGAGCCACTGAACAACTGAGTGTCCATCCGCGGTGGTGCCCCCAAAAAGGACACAGGCAGTGCACATCGGTTTAGGGTATCCCGCCCTCGAATGGCGCCTAGGATATCCCGCGAAGAAATCCGAACTCCGAGCTCTGAATCTCCGAGCGGCGTGTGACATTGGTCTCGTCTCCAGAAGGTCTGTCATGCCTTCAGGGATCGGGTGTGCATCTGCTGCAGTCCCATGGAAAAATAATATTAAACAAGTCCAGCCATGGGGGGGAAAAAATAATTAAACAAGCCCAGCGATGGAGAAAACATGTTAAACAAGTCCAGCCATGGAAAATATATATTAAACAAGAGTCCAGCAGTGACAGATTCCCTTTCCAACCAACAAACCATGGCATTCACATGAGTTTCTTCTCTGATTCGTGGTTCGGAGCCGAATCGGTGGTTTGGGTTCGGTTGAGCAGCGGAGAAACCCAGTAACCTCTACAAAAGCCGGCCCAACTTTAAGGTTCTACACCTAATACCCACCTTTCTTCCAGGTATGATAGAGTATGATATCAAGCGCGAATGAAAAATCGGTTTGAGTCCCTGGTTTTTGTTGAGGGTAAATGGGAAACCACCCCCGACCTCCAAATCACTTTCAGGCAAGCTAAACCCGAAAACACGGTTCATGAAAAGATCAAAGTCCACTTTGTTGGATACCCAAGGTAAACTTCAACCACCTAGTTTTGAGACTACTTGGTCGGGGTTCCCCCTTTCCTACCTCAGATTTCGCACTGAACTGACCTTTTTATGATGGTACACATAACACATATTCTCATGAACCCAAAAGAGATCCAAGTTTTGAGTATTCCAAACCCTGAAATAAGGATTGGACCCCCCAAGGAAAAGCCTGAATCATAGACCCAAATGGCTCCCAAATCCGTCCGCTCCACTTCACCTGATGTTAAAACGTTTGTAAAAGGCAGATGCGGGGTTGCCTCGAAATGCGGCACACTCAAAATGGAGCCTTGATTCCCTGTAGGATTCCAACCAGAACTTCCATTTGCATAAGTCCCCTGCGAAAGATAAGCATATGTCCGGTAGTAAAACCGACTCCCTCTAAGACCAACAGGGAAACAACAGCGATACCTTCATTTCAGCGCCTGGAAGAAACGGGTCCACCAAAAACGAACAGCCGCTGATCGGTCCCCATGGCCCCCCCCCCCCCGCCCCACCACCCCTGGGCCCACCCCCACCACCCGCGCCACGTGCGCTACCCATCGACCCCCCCCAACCCCCCCGCTGACCACTCGAGCCTGTGATGGTGCGTGTGCGCCCACTCTTGGGCTTGGCACTCTTCATCTTCGCCGACTTCAGGCGATCTCCCTGGAAGCCTCGGATGGTTTTGTCTTCCCTTCAGAGAAGGCTGTTCTTTTGCCACATGTCCTGGGAAAGTGAAGGGCCCCCCTCCAAAGGGATTCCTACATACTTTTGGGGGGGGGTCCTTCATTTTCCTGGACATGTGGCAAAAGAACAGCCCCGATTTCGGACCCATCTCAAAGACTTTGGTTGCAGGAACATCTACAGGAAAAACCGCCCCAAAACACACATAAACAAGCTGTTTTCCGGTGGAAGTTCCTGTAAAGAGATTCACAACCTTGGACCCGTCACCACACCTTGACTTATTTGAAGGATTCAGGTAAGCCACTATAGCAGGCAACCACTTGGGTGTTCAGATAACTTGTAAGTGGCTAGCCACTTGGGGTGTGAAACCCGCTCATAACAAGGTCAAGCCCAGTGAAGGGGGGGGAACTTATGTGGCATATGACCGATGTTGCCAACAACTTACTAACTTGGCCAAGTACCCCAAGCACTGCGAGTCTGAGCCCCAACTGATCTATCCCCAAAGCAAAGGAACCGATCTTTTGACCCCTTGGGGCTGCCTGCTTTCTTCTCACTTGCAAAGGATGTGGAGACGAAACGTGACTACCTGCTCAAGCCCATACGCTTCCCCAACAGCAACCACCTGTGCACCCTTCTAAAAACCGAAAGAAGCCAGCCGCCACAAGGCTTCCAGCTGTGGGAAAAACGGTTGCCCAAAGATGGGAAAACCAACAGGTCAGTTTTGGTCAATTCACTTTGGGCAAGTGAGAGTAGAGTGCTAACGCAATGGGGTTCAAACCGTTGGGTTGATACAACCACAGTAACCTTTACGGTTCTGGATTGTCATCAACCAAATTCTCAGTTGTTCAGTGACCCTGGAAAAAAAAGGGAACCCTTTTTTGGGGGCAGCCACCAAAAAAAGGGACAAAGGGAGCCACTGAACAACTGAGAATTGGGTCCCAAGGCCATTCTTTCAATGGGACCTTGGACACATCTCACATGGCAACAAAATTGCCTCGTTAGTTGTGGTGCCATGCCCAACCTCTCAAAATATGTTGAGAAACTGATGGCCTGGTGTGGTGATTTGTGTCGAAATGATCATCTTGCAAAGCTCGTTTGTATATTCTGGAAAAGACAGCCAGACAAGCAGGGATCCTTACATTATACACCTGAACATTGCCTTGTAAATGGTGGTGTCCCTTTATTTTGGTGCAAATTGGCAAAATGTATCTTTTAAGGAGACCTGGCAAGCTGCAAGAGAACCGGTGAATTGATCACTCACTTCTCTATTATTCTGGGTTGTCGAAACCGAATTTTGCTGAAAGCCTAACTTGTGGGCCGAATGGACACCCCAACCACACCAACTGAAAATCTCAAAACCTCAAAACCTCAGGAACCGGACGATTGGCTGGGAGCCGCCAAGTGCTTTTTGTGCTTGATGTTTTCCTCTCTCTCTCTCTCTCACTCTCTCTCACTCTCCCTATCCTTCGCTTGCAGCAGAGCAGCCTGTGAAAGTGTCCTGAAGGGCAAGGAGCACTTCAGGGCACGTGCGCCAGGGCCGAAATACAAAATCAGGCAACCCGGGCAGTGGTTTCAGATCCCCTGCCAGAAGTTTACATTTTAGTTGGGCCAAATGGAACCCAACCTCCAAAGCACCTGAACCGGACGATTCGCTGGGAACAGCCACGTGAGAATAGATGGACACTAAAACCCAAGAACACCTGAACCGGACAGCTCGGAACAGCCACGTGAGAATAGATGGACTCCTTCAGCGAAGTTGACCTTTTGGGGGGTTTTGATCGCTCCCGCGGATTGAGCTCGTTCAGTTCAAATTGCCCCAATACGAACATGGATCCAACCTGCGGAAACCAACAGGACCAAAAAGGGGCCTCCAAACTGTCGGACGCCCAAAGGGTCGATGCGATGCTAGAAAATTGGTCATCACCCCTGCTTTGGGTGGGAAGTTGAGGCACTACCCCAAATGTCCCCTCAATTGAACATGAGTTGCTGGAAAAACTTTGACCGAAACATGGCGAAACTGTGTGGAGAAGGGTATGCGCGCTCACAAATGTATGCAAACCCTTTTCTGAGATTGCAAAAGCCGCTTCTTGAAGCAAAAGACGCTTCTTGAAAGGCTGTTTCAAGGGGAAGCGGTTGATCTCTTGCAAGATTTCAAGATAGGTACTGCGACAGGGGATCAACAGCAAGCCTTTGGGAGCATTGGCCCAAGAGTACTTACCAGAGGTGTTTGCAACAAAGGAACCTGCTCCTGCATGCCTGGAACATGGAAAGCTAGACTAAAACCTGCGGAACTAGCCCCAGCTCTTTGGTTTTGAGCCACGCCTTAAGTAGTGGCAGGGCCTGGCAGGGGCATCCACCTGAAAAATCCTGAAAATAATTACCGCCCGATCGGCAGAATGGAAAGTAAACCTACCAACTGGTCTGAGGGACTCCGGCCAGCATCTGAGTTGTTCGGTGACCCTGGTACAAAAGGGAACCCTGTTTGAGATATCTATTTGGGGTTGTCTGTTCTAGAAAACCCTCCCCAAAACAAAATGAATCCTTTGGTGTCTCCCAAATAGTTGTTTTGACCTTTTAAGAAGCAAGTCTGGAGGAGACCCAAAGACTTGGGTGCCGGAACCAATTTGCCCCGCTTCGTCCGACGATTCGTCCTGGTAAGAGGTTTGGTTCTGCATCTCCGCAGCAGAAGTTGAAGCTCCACCCTTCCATCCAGCTTTGAAGCTTGCTGCCAGCATCGCATTCACCTGAGTCACTTGCTCAAAACCTGGTGCAAACATGGTCGTAATCCCAGAAAGAATTGAGAAGGCGGCTTTCCGCAACTATTTCTGGCTGGGACAGCCTTACTAACCTTCATCTACCCGGTTTTTGATTCTGGCTGACCTGGAATCCAAAGCGCATAGTGTTGACCCCAGATTAATCAACCGCAGGAAATTTCCTAACCGGTCCCTGGTTTTAAGTGGGGGTTCATCACTTTTGGAGGGGAACACCCCCCATAGTAATAAACAGGGGTTTATTAGACCAGGGTCAACTTTCTCCTCCTGTCCATTAATGTGGAACCTGACGTTTCGGGGTACAAAACGACCTTCCTTCAAAAGGGACCATGTCTCTGAATGTCTCTAGTGGGTTCCATGGCAACGTGCACGGGAGGGTAATCGTGCCATTTCGCAGTAAAGTCCCCTGGAAAAAAACAAAACATACCTCCAGCAGTGATGGATTCCCTTCAAGACCACTTAGGGGAACATAACATTCAGTTGCCCAAAGGACCCAGAGGTACAAGGTTAACCCAAATGGACCAGAGGGAAACGTCAAAAGCTCATCAGGTCGGCTTCGGCCAGGTGAGACGGTTGAAAAGCAACGACCGTTCAGAATCTGGGGAAGCAAGTCAACCAAGAGCGCAACCGCAAAACGGGCATTGAATCAACTAACACCAAACTTCCATGTCAAATGTTGCCAGGGCGAAGAAGAACGTACAGGACACCCGTTTCTTGCTTGGTTGATTTTGCAGGAAGGGACAGGTTAAAGGGCTCAAGGACCAAAAAGGGGCATCTAAAACACTCTGAAAGAAGTATCCTCAAAAAACGGCACACCCAGATCATTGCCCACTTCCGAGGCACACAGAACATTTGCTATGTTCAGATCCTGATGACCACATTTGGTCCACCGGAAAACTTGTGAAAATCGATGTGGGATCGAAGTCCAAAAGGGGTACCAAAACTTCTCAAAAAACACACACACCCAAGGCCCAAGTGGGTACTGCCTGTCCAAAAAATCCAGAAATTGGCGTGGCTGTGCCCAAAAAATGGGTGTTGGATCAAAAGGAAGCCAAAAGGAAACTCCACCCATCTGTGGCCCAAAGGACTTAGAAAAGGTTCGCCTTTTGGAACCCCGACAAATGGGAACCCGCACGAGGGAAACCAAAAGCTCAGTTCAGGTGGATTCACCTTGAACAGAGTTACTGGTCTGTCCAAACTGATCCCCCGCTAAAGAAAAAAAACATGTGGGCCAAAATGGACACCAACCACTTCACTAACAAAACGCCTTAAGCCTATAGGGACGGCAAGGAACCGCCAAGGTTCGGCTACGAAAATATAATGCCTAAGTAAAATCCCGAAACCATGCGAAACCTAAAAACCGACTGGTCCCCTACCTTGAGACAAACCCTAGTGCCTGTCGCTTCCAAGTAAACCAAGCGCCAACCCGGCGCCTTGTTGTCGCCCAGCGGGTGCGGCGTGAACTCCCTCCGGCTGCTCACCGCGCTATAGTCCAGCAGCGGCGCCTCAAGGCGTCGACCAAGGCGTCGACGCGGGCGTCGGCGTCTCGGGACGCATGGGAGGCACGGGAGGCGAAAATGCGCGAAACCCGCACCACCAGAGGAAAATTTAGGGAAATCCCTGGGGTGTTAGGTGAGCGTAGGTCAGAGGTGCCTTACTCCTACCCAGAGGCTCCTGCTGGGGCTTTCAATGGAAGACCCGACCCCTCCATGAGACATCGTGGAGGTGGTTGGGACCCGGTCTCAAAACCAGGTTATTTGAAGGCCCTAAATCAATCGGGAGCCTCTGGGCAGAGGAACATCCAGGGAAATCCTTTGTTGGGGAATCATGGCACGTATTTATTGAATCAACACGAAATACGTGCCATGGCAGGTATTTATTGGGGAATCATCTTTCCTATGGGTTTCTTAGGTGCTGCGAAATGGAGTTCGTCCAACATGGGTTTGGCTTGTCTTCTATTTTTTGGGGTGGTGGGGTTTTTTGCAACCATGGAACTTCTGCTTGGTTAAATGGCTTCCCAGATTTGTGGCAACTATGCTAGGGACCACCGGAAACGAATTCTCATTCGGCTTTTTCTGGTGCCCAACACGCACGATTCGGGGAATCATATTGGTTGGTCTAAATGATTTTTCTTTGGTAGGGGGGAGAGAACCCGATGATTTGAAACTGCTTGAAATGTGGAATGGCATTTTTGGTTGTTTTCGGGTAAACTTTTGACCTATGGGTTTGTTTCGTTGGTCGTTTTAGGGGAGCCTACAAAATGGATTTTGGTTTTCCGTTGAATCCCCGTTGAATTAACGCTAGAAAGCGTACAACAAACAAACAACACCCACACACACACACACCCATACCTGGACCTTCAAGCCGTTTCCCGAAAATGCAATAGTTTTGCCGGTTGCTGAATAAAAAAAGCTCTTTCGGAGAGAACAAGCTCGCCGTGAGTCCAGCTCGTGACCAGGCAAATAAAAACGCTGTGTCGTCGGCAAATTACGCCGTTTCGCCGGCAAATTACGCCGTTTTGCAATTTTGAGTGATACCAGAGTCTGCGTCAAAACATGGTTCTTGACAAAACCGAAACAATTTTGCACATGCAGAGCCAGGTATAGCCAATCCCTCCCCCAAGCTGCCAGTAGGCAGGTGGGTAGTTGTTTCAAGGACCAAAATCCGCGCTGTCGTTTGATTGGTGTAGGCCTTTGGCCTGCAACCACAAGAGCAAGTGCTGGGAACCGCCTACCTGCACCCTCAAACTAGCCATACAAAAAGGGAACTCACCAACCGTAATTTTGGGCGTTTTAAGGGTAATTTTGAAGGTCCAGCTACTCGGTATGACTTTTGAGGTGGGGCCCTTTGGCCTTCTCAAATCCTTGGCGGCGTTATGTCCAAGCATTTGTAGCGCCGTATGACTTTGTTCAGGTGACACTAAAATGAGAAATACAAAAATCACGCCGACCCCAATATTCGGCAGGTAGGAACCAAACCACGGCCAGGCGGCTCGTGTCGCTATTGTTGGGCGCCGCTCGCAAACAAACAAACGCAGAGACTCCGGTCCTTGGTCTTCTGGAACTTCATGTACGGCGACTCCTCGACTCTTTTGACATTTTGCCGTACAACCCGCCCGGGGAGAGTCAGCAGAGTCAGCGGAGTGGGAAGATTTCAGCCCTTTTTCACTGCTCTCTTTGAAGCGGAAGTGATATTTTAGGCCCTCTGATGATGTGGCTGTGGGTCAAAATTATGTACCCAAACTGGAACCCTGCCAAATTGAACCAAGCACTCAAACCTGGGGTCCCCTGGTTGTTTAATTTTGACCCATACCCATATATCAATCAGCCAGCATGTCCAACCAAATTGTGTCCAACACTGGAAGAGTAACCTTTGTGAGTCGGTCCTCTAGACAAAGCAACTTAAATGAGGTCCACATTTACTGCCAGTGTGAATCACACGCTGTGATACCACTGCAAGGCTTCTGACGAATTATTCACATACCGGAACGTCTTCCCTGCTAATGTTGACCACATATTACTGCAATCAAAGCCAGTTTATCAATAGGGGTGTTCCCCTGCAAAAGTGATGATTCCCCACTAAACCCAAGAACACGCCCTATTAAAAAACTGCGGTTGATACATATGAGTCATATGAGGTCAACATTACACTGGTTGAATTTCCAGGCCCCGATCAGCTAAATCGAAATCGCGGAACTGTCAAGATATTTTCGGTTCCGTACAGTCCCGAGTGGGCCCAAAAAAGCAACCAAGTATCTACCTCAGCCCAAAGGACCTGGAAGTAAAAGGTCAACCTTTTGGGGCCATGACGAAATATGGACCAAACTGGGGAAAACCAAAAGGTCATTTCAGGTCGCTTCGCTTTGAACAACTGAGCTACACCCGAGTGGAGCCCAAAATTTTAAGGACTTTGACTTCCAAGGGCCTATGAGCTCGTGGGCTAGGGACAACTAAAACTTCTCCCGATCGGCGAACGTCCAACTCAGGAAGTCACGGACATCTCGCTCTGAGTTGGATTTATTTATTTATTTTTCTTGGACAGATCTCGAGTGCGGCTTCTCAAATTTGAGCTCAAACGCTGACTCGCTCTCGAGCCCAGCCGTGCCGAATGGTCAACATTCAAAAGTAGACCCAGGAATTCGACGGTTTCTGTGTCCACTGGGGCGAATAAGCTCAGATCCCCCTCTTAGGGACGCAGAAATCAAAGCTGATCATCTAGTGCCATGACTCAAAGCGTTACAACCACATGGACCATTGGAAAACCAAAAGGCTAAAGGGTCGATTCGCTTTGTTTTAGGAAGAACTAGGGTTGTCCTTTAGGAATCGGACCGCCCAAAATGGCGCAATTCGGTGTTCCTGCTGATTTCGCAAAAGACGAGCCCGTCTTCTTTGTTTGGCAAATTCAAACCCTCCGCACCCGAACCCTGACCCTAGGGTGTTTTCCATTCACCTAGATGTTCAATCGGGAACACAAACACAGGGGCGAATGCACGTGATGGTTTGCTCCTCACTTCCTGCGTTGGTTTAACACCAGGGCTGTGGGGAACGACCACTTCTGTGATACCACAAAAAGGGCTTCCCAGGGATTCCCAAAAGTATCACAGAAGTGGTTGGAGAAACCCCTTGTGATCAACCACAACTCTGCTTAACACCAAAATGGTTCTCCCAAAAAGTTCAAAGTCAAGCTCGGGGAGTGAGCTACTTGCCTGGGACCGCCCCCAAAGACCCAAACCCTAAACGACCCTGAAGCGAGCACAGTTGCTCAAAGGACTGCATAAATAAAAATTGCTTCTGGGGCCGTGACTCAAGAAGGACCAAAAGGAGGAAAAACCGTGCCAAAAAAACACCCACAGATCAGTTCGATCGGTCGATTTGCTTGGGGCCTGCATGAGCGAAGCGTTTTCTCGCCCGTCCTTCCGGCCGATGTTGTGGATGCCAGCAAAGTTCTCCCCCCGATCCTCGGAGGCCGGGATGCGGCCCGCCACTCCTGGCGTTCGCGACCGACCTCCGAGCACGCGCCATAGGTCTTCCCCTTCGACCCAATCGATATGGGCCTGCAAAACACACACTGTTTTTCTTGCAGCCCCCTACAAACACAAGAACAAACAAACTTAAACTAGAAACTTGCCAACCACAGTGAAGGTCCCCTGGAAAAAGTGGAACACTAACTCACAGAGTGATAGATTCCCTGTAAAGCCAGCGGAACATCAACAACATTATTGCGCAAATGGAAGGTGACCAGCCCGGGCCCCTTTTTCCAAAATTTGTGTTACCAGATCATAAGCCTGAACCATCCTCAGATCCCCTGCTAAAAGTGAAACTTTTAGTGGGCGAAGTGGAAACTCCCACTCGACCCCTTTACACCTAAAAAAGACAGTGAACCGGACGGCTGGGAACTCATCAAGTAGCCAACCACGGTCCCCCACCTTTGGCTGTCCCTCCCGTGGAAAAAATCCCCCCTCCCCCACCTTTGGCTTCACGTTTAGCTTCTTTGGGGAGCACAGCAAGAATCAAAAGTCAGCTTCCCTCCAAAACGGGTGGTTTGGCTGTGTGGGTTGGAGGTCTTCCAGGGGTGGTTTCCCATTCACCCTCTACAAGAACCCCAACCCACCAATCGTTTGTAACCTGGGGCGTTGGTTTCAAGGGAAACCAAAAAACAAATCTTGCACTTTGAGTCCCTCCTGTTTCGACACATAAGTGGACGTAGGGGTTCAATCCGAAAAAAAGGGGAACAACGAAAGCGGAACGAAGAACAAAGGCCACACCTGAAGATCCGGGCACCCCAAAAACGTCCGGTGCTCCGCCGAGGTCGTCGGTTAGGAACCGACTTCTGAGTGATTTGGGGTCCGGTTGTACGTCTTCAGGTAAGCGGATTTGGATTTCAACCACTAAACCACAATAAGCAAAAATGGGAAACATGTTTCCCAACAACGACCATGATGTAGGTTGCAACCCAGCTGGGTTACTAACCACATACTAACTTGGCGAATTGAGCGCCAAAGCAACAAGTATGCTGTGATGTTGCCCCCGGATCTATGTCGAACCCTTTCTAGGGGGTGGCCCCTTTTAAAAGAGGTCCAAAGCCCCACTAAAGGGGGCCACCCCCGTCTCTCAAAATCAACCAGGGGTTCTACCTAGATCCGGGGTTCCCATTGGGTAAAACGATCCTTCGCAGGCAATACCATGTTTTGTTTGGCGGGTAGGGTTCAAGACCAAACCCCTATGGATCACATCAACCCATGGAATCAGCAAGTCGATTCTTTAGCCGCAAACAAAATCACATCGGCCGCACCAATTTGGGTTTGTCCTCTACAGGGCCCCCCAAAACGGTTGTCCCCTTGCTTTCCCAAAAAGAAGCCGCAAAAAAAAAATGCGCACTCAAACAAGATACTCCCCTCCATTTTTGATTGGGACTGTCCCTAACCATCTACCTGCTGATGGCTCAAGTTAAACATTCCGAATGCGTCAGACCGGATATGGCGGCTCCTGTCGCGTATGCTGTGCGATAGGTCAGCCGTACCTCGGAAAAGGGGTCAAGGGGCATCGTGTGCCATTGTCTGATCAACGGCTGATCTTGGTTGACGTTGGAAGGGGAGCAACAAACAAATGCAGCCAAGTGGGGATTTGCCACTAAACCACAATAAGCAAAAAATGTAAAATGTTTCCCAACAACAACCGAAAAAAGTGACTCACTTGTGGGCCAAATGGAATCCCAACCACTAAACCAGCTAAACACAACCAAAAACCTAAGGGGATAACTGGCAGCCACCAAGAAACCTCACACCTCATTCCCAAACCTTAGACCAGCAACACATCTACTTCTTGCGGCTTACAGGGGGAACGAAGAACTTTTGGCCCGTGACGAAATACAAGCCCTGTTCAGGGAAACTCTTTTTGGTTAGCTTCAAATGGCACCCCAACGGAACCGCGCTGTTTCATGGGTCCCCTATGTGGTGGTCTTAAAATAATGGGGGCATCACAAAAATGTGCGGCTTGCTCTTCGTTTCCGTTTGAAGCCACTCAACAATAGGTACCCTCAAACAAGAACCGACCTATACTGGAGTGGGGGGGAACTTAAAAGGGGACCCTTGTTTTGTGTAGATAAGTTATGTCGTGGTTCATGTCCACCAACCACTTGCAGTGGATTCATATTAAAATTACATGGCCATATGTCCCATGGTCAAAAGATCCAGCTCCTTTACTTGGGGTTAGAGGGGGTGGTCATCCACATGGTAGTATTATTAATGACCATAGGCCGTACTGCGCATGGACGAAATCCTGCACCACTTTGACACCATGGCTGAAACCATTGTTTGTTGGATTTTACAGGGTAATCCAATCATTTTAGGCTTTCCGAACGGCGGTGCGAAATGGATTTCGCCCATCCACAGTAGGGGTTCGTCTTTTCTTTTGGGGGGGTAACCGTGGCTTCTGGCTGGTGAAATGGCTTACCAGATTTACCGACGCAAGCAGGCTAGGGACCACAGGAAAAATATATCTTGTTAGGCTCCCTTCGGTGGACATCACACACGCAGGATATTTGTCCACTACAACCATTTATGGCTGGCTGTTGGCTGCTAAGTCCTCGCACTATTCTGGAGATCACCCTTTTGGAGTTGGTTGAAAGGGAAACTCAAGAGGAACCACATTTTTGGAAGCCCCCTTGAAAACAGACAAACCCACACAATATTGTTTCTACTCATCAATTCCCTTTGGAACCAACAGGGGACAATCAAAAACATATTCCGAAGCGCAAATGGAAGGTCAGTTTGTTTCAACCAGCATATTCCGAAACTCAAATGGAATGTCATTGTTAATATATATATATATAATTATACCTGGAGCACCCTTCGTTACCTAAATTTCTGCCCTTAGCCCAAACGTATTGCAAAACCAGGGGTCGTCACCAAAATACGGTAAATGTACACATTTTCCTGCTTCGAGCGTTTTTCCCAAAACCGGGCTGGTCGGTCCTCCAAGATGATCGGTCGCTGAATTTTCGCAAGGAGCGAGCAGAATTCGAAGTGCAAAACGAGCGCAAATATCCGCAAAACGAGCGCAAATATCCGCAAACGAGTGCAAATTCAAAAAACGTAACAATGCCCGCCGTCCTCTGGATGGAAGAAGGGATTTGGTCGAGCGTTTTTCGGGGTGCGAGCGTTTTTTGCGGGGTCGAGCAGAAATCGGTACTTCGAGCGTTTTTTTCTCGTACCTAAAAAAAAGGGCACGTTGGGTGCCTCAGGTATATATGTAATTATATACATAATTAGATATATATACATATATTCCGAAACGCACATGGAAGGTCATTATTATTCTCGTTGTTTTTTTTTTTCTTTTTTCTTGGGGGACGGATGGCTCAACACATCTGTTGTGACCAGCCGCGAGATCATCTGTTGGGACGCTCTTCACAGCCTGACTGCCTGGCAGACAGCCTCAGCGACTCAGATCGCTCTCGGTGGATGCCCCGTTCGCCATACTGTTGGTGGATGAAATCCATTTCGCACCACCTAAGCACCCTGGTTTCTGATGTTTCTCCTGTAAATACCAGCAAACAATGGTTTCCCATGGTTTCAGAGTGGTGCAGGATTCTGTCTATCCACATTATGGCCATGGCTCACAAGCCCCCAGTGAACATCCGATTGAATCCCCACTAGAATAGGTTCTAAAATGGGTGGTGAATTCACCTACCAACCAAAATGGTACCGTTGTTTTTGACAACCACAACCATATTGCAAGAAAGGGAACAAGCAAATCCTCAAACAAATACTGTAATTGCCCATGGTTGAGTGTGGTTGAGTATGGTTGGTTTACTTGCAATATTTCTGGCATCCACCGCACCCCCCTACTCCACTTACTTTATTGGGGGCAAACACTTCACACAGTTGTGGCTATTTTTTGGGGTCGGGATCCCTACACTTTCTTTTTGAGGGGGTCCCATCTTCTCAGACACACACACAAAATACCTTCATCTGCTTTGTGATTTCAACTCTGACTGAAAAAGGAGGTATTTGCCATGGGGTAAACCTGGTTCTTCAACATACTCAAACAGAAAACGGACAATAGAGGATATTTGGCCCCCCCGGGGGGGGTACACTCAATCTTACCCTCCCTCCAACAACAATGCAAGCCGACAGAAAGGTATGGAACAACTTGGGACACATTGTAGACCCCTGCATAAAGTGCCTGGTTCTTAAGATGCTGCAGATGTTCGCTAGCCAGTAATGAAGTTCAAGTCAAGGTCAAAGCAAGAACAACCAAGGAGTGTGTGTTGATGTCGTGAAATCTAAGCAAATCATTATAATATATACCCTCCCACCAATTAACCAATTGCCATGGAACCTGACAGAGGGCTCCTGGGGTTTGACCCCAAAGTCGCTGAAGAGAGCCATGAAGAGAATGGGGAATGAGGCCTTCAACGTATGCATCTCTAGAGAAATCAGGACAACTGAAGGGCGTGGCATACAACGCATCCCAACTGTGCAACATGTCAAAGCAGTGTTTCCAACGTGAGTGGCAGTTCTTTCCCGATCTACTTTTGAAGAAGACTCGGGCACTTTCAGGGAATCCCTCACTTCCTGAGTTGATGGTCCAAAAAATGTCCAAGCTCCTTGGTTGCCACTAAAACGGTTCAAACCCAAAAAGTGGCTAAAGTCACCTTGGTTGCTGTTGACCCCCCTGCAACAAGTTTAACTTTTTTGGGGTTTAGTGGAAAACACCTTTGTTTCAACCAAAAGGTTGAAGTCTAAAGATCCAACCCAATAGCAGCAAGAGCCCAACGGAACTCAGGAAGTGCGCGCCCTTTGGCTAGGGATCCGAATCCACCGGCTGGCGGGCTCTCTTCTGCCGGGTGGCCCGTGGATTGGTAAACCACCTCAGCTCAAAGGGCGCCGAACATGTTGCTTCACGTCTAGGCTTTTGTATCCAGCTGCGAGAATTGATACTCAGATGCCCAGTGGATTTCCATGAAAAAGAGTTGGCATCCATGTTGTTTTGGTTGGTTGAGTTTAAAGGGGGACCCTTTGCCCAAAAAAGAAACAAGGGCACCACTTGGGCAACTGGGGATAGCTACCAACCTGGCGAATCACATGGTAAATGCCGCCTTGTTAGGGGTTGACATCATACCCCTTCATACCCTGAACAAGGGGCATTGCATGTATGCGGTACGAAGGTGGCATTCCCTCCCATCCCGAACCTCCCGATATTTGCCCCCTAAACATCACCCAGAAGGCAACTCGAGCTTTAGATTGGCCCCTAATTGGCGGTGTTTAAAAGCCAGTTGCCCAAAGGGCGAATAAATATTGTTAACATCAGATTAATAAACCGTCGCTTTTAGGGTCGTGTGTTCCGCTTCGGCGATGAATCCCCACTGAAAGGGCACACCCCCTATTAAACAACCAGGCTCTATCAATCTGGGGTCAAGTTCACCTTTTGGGGCCCGAAAAAATGAGAACCCTGGTCCATTCGCTTTGGGCAAGTGAGAAAACCATCAAGGGGGGAAATATAGGCACGCCTGTCTTGCATCGGGTAGCATGGAAGATCACACTCAAAAACAAAAGGACATTTTGAGGACCCCAAAACAGTCGGGAGTTGGGAGCCTTAGGGCTGTTGTTTAAGGACATCGGTTTCACTACTGCACATACTGTACGCAAACGAAATCCTTGTCGCACCACTTTGACACCATATGGGAAGCCATTGTTTGTTGGTATTAAATTGGAATCATCCTTTCCAGGGTTTCTTATGTGGTGCGGGTTTCGTCCATTCACAGTAGTGTTGCATTGTTTCCAGGGGCATGAAAAGCAAATGGAGCAATTTCTCGGGGACTCCCCACCAAAAGGCACCCCGATCTCTCCAATTCACACAAGCATGGTGAGGTTTGCCCCACCCAAGAGGGCGGCCTTTCTGGAAACGCAGTCTGAGTCAGACTCCCTCAACGTTGCTCACATGGCCAGAAAAGGATGTATCCAAGTTCCTCGCACGCCTCTCTAAATGAAACAGGGACAACTTCGAGCCCGCAAAGAAGCTCTCGCTGGGAAGCAGTACACGCTGCATCTGGGCTGCTATCGGATCCCCTGCTAAAAGTTTAACTTGTGCGCTAAGTGGAATCCCCGTCCTTTTACTACGGTAGAAAAAAGAGAGAAAGAACAAAACAACCAAAAAAAGAAGAAGATAGAAAGCCTAAGAAACCGGACGCCTGGCAACTGCCTGGGTATATATCAGGGGTACCACCGGTCTCCCCGGAGGTCCGCCCTCGGGTCCCCAGGTTGGGTTGACTGGCAGCTTTCATTTGTTTTTCGCGTAGGCAGGGTTGTTCATTGATTAGCTGTGTCATTTTTTAGTTGGTACCCCTTTTTCTGTGGTTTCAAGGGGAAACTAAAGGGAACACCCAAAACAAATTCAGATTTCTTGTAAAAGGGTCCCCTAAAGCAAGACACACCTAATTCGAATTCCAATCCACAATCTCTAGTCGGGCGGTGCCACAAGGGAATTCACTACCATCCGGCAGAATTCAGGATGGATACCGCACACTCCAAAAAGTTTCAAGGGGATGATCTCTGTTTCTAGCTTTGATAACCCAACAGGTAAAACCATGGACTCAGGAACAAGAAAACGACAAAAACCATGGACTCAGAAAGAAGAGGAAGAAACAACAAACATCCCTTAAACACCACTCCACCAAAAGGACACGCACAGAAAAGTCCTTTAGCTCCAGCGGCCGGGGTCCAAAATGGTCCAAACAGGGCGCCCTTTTTGTCGGCCCTTTGCAAAGAACGACCTCGTGCGAGAAAAGAACCAAGGGAAATGCACCACTGGGGTCAGGGAATTGGGCTGCCCAAGCAGGGTTCCCTATATCAAGAAAACTCACTTTGATGTCATCGGCCCAAAAGATGATTAGTGTGATTCGGGCACGAGCCTGTGCCCAGGCAATGGGTAAGTTGGGGTAAACAAGGTTCCCCAAAAGCAAACCAATCCCCGGTCCCAAAGATCAGGGTTTCCCACACACCAGAGAACAACAACCAAAGGAAAACAAACCAAACAAGAAAAGGGTTAACCCGCAACCTTGGTCGACAACAGGCCGCACGACTGGTCCCTACCAACCTGGCGGCGGCCCGAGGTCTCTTTCTCCCCCGAGATGCCGTCGGTCGACGCAGGGGTTCGGCGACGCCCATTCGAGGCGCGACGGAACCCAAAACTTGAGCCAAAACACCACAGGTCGGTCACTAACGCGACGTCCCTGATGATGATATGAACCATGGCTAATCACACCCCCCTCACGAGGAGCCCGTCATATGACGGGTGGAGCGTGCCATTTACTGATAGGATTTAACTGCTCGCATGCGTCCGCAAACAGCTGGACACTACCGCCGTCAGCGGTGGAGCAAACCCACAAAGGCAGTTGCGCGACATCCCGGGCATTAAATTCCCGCCACCACCCCGAATTAATCGGGGTAACGCTGTCCAACAAACCTTGTGGAAAAGTCCACATGACGACACTAGGTCACAACTGTTTGCATCAACAATGCAAGAAGTTTAATTCTTATCAGAAGCCATGAAATAAAAGATAACGTATGTCCATTAGTACCCTCGCCTAACGGCAAGAGGTACTCCTGACCATGCGTACCTGAATAAAAATGCTTGAATTCAGCAAACCCGGGAGTAACCCCCCATCAGTTTGCTTTCCCTCTCACTCACACTGCTCCCTGATGAACACGTCCAGCAGCCCAGCAGCGGTATGGGAGAGACATGACCTCCGCGCCTCAGCGGTCCGGGAGGAACATCACCACCTCCGCACCGCGCCGACCATTGGAGAACGGACGCAAGCCTATCGGCCGCAATCCTCGTGACTCAGCCTACCGGCTATCGTCACGTCTCCTCCGGTCACGTCCGCCCCGCGCACGGTCCCTATCACGATCCCTCTCGGATCTCCTGCGATCATCTCGCCTTCGATCTCGCTCCCGATCGAGTGATTCATCATCACGACGATCACGAGCATCGTCCCTCCTCCGGTCTCGCTCATCCTCGCGCCGTGGACGGTATCTGCGCCTCCTTGACTCCCTGGAATCCCTGGTGTCCACGGTCCTAACGGACCTCCGAGAAGGAGTACGGGAAACATCCGATTCCCTACGCCTCCTCCCAGATCGAGAGTTCGTCACGATCTGGTTGAGAGCCTCCAGTGCCGACGCGTCCTCACCATTCCTGATGAAATCCCTGACCTGCTTGTTCAGCACTCTGTTGGTGGAGATCGACAAGAAAGCGTCCACCACCGAACTCTCAGGCAGCACCAGAAAGTGACCCTCCACCGGGCTCGCCGCGGCCCGCTCAGCAGACTGCAGCCGGATCTCCCCGCCTTCAGGCTTCTTTGCCATCGCCTTGGAGGCCGTCAAAGGCGCTACCGCATCCTTTGCCGAAGATCTGCCAAGCGCGGAGTGAAGATCATCCCCGCTAGCTTCTCTCGCTGCCGCACCTGGTCTGCTGTCGACGTCGCCAGGCCTCGTGGACGCCTCCCGCTTCGTCGACTCCTTCGCAGCCTCGTCGGGATCCCAACGGGATTTCCTTTCTCTCTTCTGCCCTTCGGCCGACCCGCGGCTACCGCCGGGAGCGTCACCTCCGCCTGTCTTCTCCTTCTTGACCTCAACCTTCGGTTCGGCCTGCTTCGTCTCCTTAGCCACAGCTTTTGGAGCCGGAGCACTCTTCGCCTCAGATGCTGAAGCAGCCTTCCCTCTCGGCTCGGCCTTAGGAACCGGGGTCATTTTAGCCTTAGCACTCGGCCTGGCCCCTTCAACCACCATCTCGGCCCAAGACTTCTTCGGCTGAGCTGCTGCTGTATCAACCTCCATCGGAGCAGGTCCAGCATCATCCTTCGCCTTTGGGACAGATGGGCTACCGCCCTTACCAGATCCTTTACCTGGCACTTCACCTGATTTTGGTGGTGGGCCGGAAGGACTACCGCCCTTACCGCCCTTTTCCCCTTTCTTCCCTTTTCCTTTTCCGCCCTTGGGGACCGGCTCCTGCTTGGGACCAGGACCCGGCGCAGCATGATGCACCGATTGGAGTCCCTCGATGTCCACGTTCAATGGTTCGGGTTGACGACCGTCAAGAACCGTCCTCACCCTTTCGTCACTAACGTAGACGAACGGGTCACGGAAGGGTGCGGGAGGCTCCGACTGTCCGGCGCTGATCGCCTTCTGCACCTTGGCTATCGCCTCCTTCAACCTCTTCTTCTCATCATACCCTGTCTCCGATACCATGTACTTCCTGAGCTGCGACATCAACGCATGACTCTCCAGGATGTCCACGTCCTTTCGATGGGTCGGGTACAATGGGGTCAGATGACCAGCCGCAGAACCAATCACGTATGCCATCGGAATATAGAATGACAAGTACGTGTCATGACGAGCGAACTTCCTAACGGAAGTCGTCATACGCCTACCCCACTGAGCAGCGTGTCTTGGGTTGGCCCGGAAGTACTCCGTGACCGACTCAAATCTATCGACTTGGTTGGTCTTGATCAGGTGCTTCGCCACCCACTTCTCCACAAACGCATCCGAGGCCGAAATCCCGGACACATAGGAGAATTGGAATAGCACCTTCGCCAGCTCATCCCACGCCGCATCGACACCTCCCTTGTCTTCACCAAGATAAGGGGGAAGTCTGATGCCGCTCTGCACCGTCATCCTTAGATCGGATGCCATCGAATAGGAAATCAAATTCCTCTTGATGACTCCGACCACTTCGGAGGGAATCCTCCTGGGCTTGAACTGCCCCATGGTCCTCACCCACTCCGGCACGATGTGGCACCTTTCGAAGTCCTTTTCCTCCGCGTTGGGGATAAAGTTCGGGTAAAAGACCGGGAGCGCGCACCCGGGACACAAG